TTGAGAAATAGAAGAATGAGAAGTAAGAAGAATGATAAATTAGCTGTAGGATCTACATTCTATATGGGCTATGAGTTTAAGGAAGCTGTTTTAGAGTATGCTTTGAAGAAATCAATGAACATTAGACAAGATAGATGGGAGAAGACAAAGCTCGGATATAGGTGTGGCGTAGATGAGAAGTGCAAATGGCGGCTCTACTGCTCATATGATAAGCCGAGTCAGATGGCGGCTCTACTGCTCAACATACTTAGTCTTTAAAATCCATTTCTGAATCGGCTTAACAGAGTTTGTATTTTCAGGGACTAATTACTACAGTCAAAGCAGAATTGCCAAATACAGAACATAGAAAGTGTGTCAAACACAATGTTGAGAACTGGAAGAAGGACCATGGAAGGAAAGACTTGCTAAAGCCGATGGTGTGAAATGTTGCTTGGAGCTATAGTGTGACTGAATATCAGGAGAATGCCAAGAAGCTGAGAGAATATGATACAGCTTTGTATGAGGCTGTTTTGAAGGAGGAGCTACAAACTTGGTCCTTGGCATTTTACAAGCTTGGAAGCTTCTGCGATAATGTGGACAATAATTCTACTGAATCGTTCAACTCCACTATTACCAAGGCAAGAGCAAAGGCAGTAATACCAACGCTTGAGACAATTAGGAGGCAAGCAATTTGTCGTTAGTAACCGATTGTAACACAAAGCTATATGACCACAACAAGACAATCGATTGAAACACAAAGCTGACCATTAGTAATCGATTCAAACTTCAAAGTACTACAAACATAAAATCAAACTTCAAAGAGGTACACAACCCCACTTTAACATACATAAACTCAAACTTATCCTCAATTCCAACACAATCCTAACTCACAACACATTTTCGAACTAACTAGCTCATAAAAACTTCCCACAAATCCAGCCTATGGTTCCTACAACCAAGATTGTGATCCCTACTTTTTGCATACACTTTTTTGCCAACTCTCCATCAATCTTATGCATACTTGCATTAGAGATCATAATCACATCCTTCATCTTCTCATCCAATTTCTCTTTCATTTCTTTTTCCATTTTGTAAAGCATGCTGTTTTGAAGCTCCAAGTTCTCTACCAATTCTTTTTTCAGCGCTTTCACCTCTTCTACAAGCTGCATTGATATATCATGGTTTTTATGGTTTTTAACCATGATATAAGTCCTTTTTATTGAGTCTTTTTGGTCTTTTTAGAGTCCTAGAAGAGTCTTTGCAGGTTATAGCATGTCTGGAGCATAATTGGAGATTTTGGAACCTTATGGAGCATTCTGGGTGGAAGCCACGAAGTACCAATCTCGAAGCAGAAAGTATCACATATGGTGACGCTCGTCACCACCTTTGGTGACGCTCGTCACCCATCAAGGAAGGAGCGTGGCTGTTTTATTAAAAGTATGAAGAAGATTTGCAGAATTGGCCCATAAGTTCCTTTATTTACATGAAGACTCCAGATCGTGTTTAGCCTCTATTTATTAGGTTTTTCAGCCATTGTTGGCTATTATCTTAGTTTTTGAGAATTTAGAGAGCTTAGAGAGAGATTTATTCAGAGTTTTTTGGGGAGACAAATCCTGTACTCTTTTGAGAAGATTTCGAACTCCCTTTATTTCTTACTCTTTCTCTTAATGCAATTTTATTCAGTTATGTTTTGTGATCTCATAATCATGTCTGAGTAATCTGCTAGTTAAGTTAGGGTTTTTCAAAGGTTGATGAAAAGATTGTAGAATCGCTATCTGTTAGGAATATCTTATGGTTTTTCATCTCTGCTTGCTTTAAAATCGAATTTCTAAGACACATCATCTAGGAATCCGAAAATCTTAGGTTGTTAAATATATGTGAGAGCATTACCTGAACTAGTATTTGATGAGCAAAGCAACTTAGTGCAAAGAGATTTGGCTTAGGAGTTTTGTAAACAATTGAATCTGATTCATTCCTGCATGCTTAGGTTGTTAGAGTTTACAAAGAGATTTGAAACTCTGTGATTTAGGCATAGATAACTTTTGCAATGAGAATTGATTAGTTATACATCAGTGATTCATGTTTAAAACGGTTCTTAATCATTCCTGATTTCCTGCGTCATACATTCTTGGATTCAACCTGCGAACTGCCCTGACTTAGCGCTTTTAGTTTTCTGGAACTTAGACCATCTTACAAAATCGTTTGCTTACTTTTATTTATTCATTCGCATTACATACATCATATCTTGCTTAGCTAAATCCGAATCTACATTCGATAGTGTAGTCTGCATTACTCTCTTGGGATTTCGATACCCCTTGTACTACAACTGCTTTTGCTGTGCACTTGCAGTAGTTTTATTTGGGTAAAACCTGAGCCCTATCATGCATATGCTTCGCCTCTAACAATTTAGTTTCATCAAGAAATGCTTCATCAATCCATTTGAAAAGATGATCCTCTGTTTTCCTCTAAACAAAAAAGACTTTAATCAAATGAAGATAACACTCTCATATATGTATACTTACTATCTATTGGAGAGTACATGCAAGGCCACCTCACACCTATAGAATCCGCGAAAAGGATTTTCCTTTGTCTGAGAAGCATATGTCACAATTTTTCTCTCACACCAACATCTTAATGGAACACCAATAGAATGTCTTCTGTTTGTGGATCGAGATGAAGCTGATGAAGAAGAGCTCATTATACCTCTGTCCACAAAGTGAAACGAAATCAAGCAACAACGATGAGCTTAGGAAATGAAATCACTTATGCCCAAACGAACAACATAGTATGCGTCACATAACTAACTTTGCTTTCATTCTGAAGAAATGATGCCTACAACGATGAATGGATTTTCACCAATTCGATTTTCAGACGAAGAAGCTCGCGATTTGCAGACGAAGAAGAACACGAATGAGATGGTAAAAGGGTCGGGTTAGGTTTAGGTATTTGGTTTCGTGGGGTCAGGTTTAGTTATTGGATTTCCTCGAGTGGGGTCTATTAAAACATGATTTAAAGAAATAATCGATTTTGAAACACAATCACGATTTTTGAAAACACAATCACGATTTTGGATTAATAATTTGATAGGGGGAATAGACAAAAAATTTATAGTTTGGGGGGTCTGAAAAAAAAGCTGATAGTTTGAATGGAATTAAACATAGTGTGTATAATAAAAGGGGTCATGGGCAGTCAACCCTAGATAGAATCATAAAATTTTGATTTTCTTCTATCGAAACAAATCAACAATGAAAAAATATCATAATTGGTGGATCCATCTGTAAGGGTCTCGTAAGAGCATCTCCAACCCTACTCCATTTTCAACTTCAAATGCTATTTTGAAGTAAAATCATCTCCAACCCTACTCTATTTTCAACTCCAAAATGGAGTAAACCTAAATTCTACTCCATATTTGGAGTAGATCTAAACTCTACTCTATTTCGGAGTTGAACTTTTTTACTTGTAAATAAATCTTTTAGATTTTAAATAAATATATTTTATACTATTTAATATTTATAAATATTATAAAACTGATAATTATGAATACTTAAACACTACAATTATTCCTAGAAAAGCTTGCAAAATACAATAAACTTAAAAATACATAATAATTGCTGAACTTAAGATAAATAATATAAATAAATTTAAAACAACAAATATTAAAGAAATTAATGATAAAAATTTCAGTAATATTAACGTTTAATCAAATTGCATATGCTTTTTGTGATATTATGTAATTTTAATTATTTAATAAATATTTAACTTATAATTTTTGAAAAAAATTGTAAACAATAAAATAAGTATGGTTTATTTGTAAATTTTAAAACTAAAAAGTATAAATAATAAAATAGAATAAGAATTTATTTAGAATATTCCTTGTTGGAGTAAAACACAACTCCATTTTAGAGTTACTTTATTTTGGAGTAGAAAATTGAGAAATACATTGGAGATGGTCTAAGGGCATCTCCAACCCTACTTCATTTTCCACTCCAAATGTTATTTTGGAGTAAATTTCACTCCAATCCTACTTTATTTTCAACTCCAAAATGGAGTAAACCTAAATTCTACTCTATATTTGGAGTAGATCTAAACTCTACTCCATTTTAGAGTTGAACTTTTTTATTTGCAAACTAATCCTTTTAATTTAAAATATTTTTATTTATATTATTTAATATTTATAAATTTTATAAAACTAATAATTATAAATATTTAAACACTACAACTATTCTTAGAAAAAATTGTAAAATACAATAAACTTAAAAATACATAACAAGTACTGAAATTAAAATAAACAACATAAATAAATTTAACACAATAAATATAAAATTTTTAAATAATTTTCTAAATTGCTTCTTGATCTACCAAAATTGTCTAAAAAATGGTGGAGGAGAAAATTTCATATGTTTTTTTATGATATTATGTAATTTCATTATTTAATAAATATTTAGTTTATAACTTTTAAAAGAAATTGTAAACAATAAAATAAATAGAGTTGAATTGTATATTTTAGAAATAAAATGTATTACTAATAAAATAGAATAAGAATCTATTTAGAATATTCCTTTATTAGAATAAAAAATAGAGTTATACATTGGAGCAAAACACAACTCTATTTTGGAGTAAAAAATAGAGAAATATATTAGAGATGGTTTAAGTAGTAACCCAAAACATGTCAATACATCTAAACCGCCAACATTAAACCTGTTTAACCAATCATTTAGCTGTGATGAATTAATGAAAAATTAAAACCCGGTATGAATTCCCGGTCATTCTCCTCAACCCACTGTCACCGTCTCACTGACTCTGCTGCTGGTGTTAGTTGCCGAAGAAAAATATTATTCTTCTTCTTCTTCACTCAATGTAGAAGTCATTGTTCTTCATCATCATCATTACTCTCAATGTAGTTAATTTTTCCCAGAGATTTCGTTTTCTTTTTCGAATTTTTCTTACGGAACTTCCGATTCTAAGAAAGTGTGGAGAATCTTACTGTTTGATTTCGCTCGCGAGCCCAATCTCTCTCGGCAATGGAGCGAAACTCATCAGACGACGAAGAAGAAGACCACCAGCATTTAATCCCACAGAACGACACTCGCAATCGCCGCCGGGAAGACCCGCTTTCCTCCACCACCACCAGTCCGAGATCGGCGTTCCAGATCGAAGACATTCTATCGCGGAGGAAGATCTCGCTCAACAAACGGTACCTCCTCGCCGCCGTCTCACTAACCATCTCAATTGGTCTCGTCTTCTTATTCACCGATCCTCGTCAGCTATTCTCGGCGAATATCTCCAATTTCAAGCTGGATCCATTATCGAATCGCGTCAAGGAATCCGAGTTTCGCGCTCTGTATCTTCTTCGGCAGCAGAAACTCGCGCTTCTCTCTCTTTGGAACGTTACGTTGGTGAATTCCAATTCCTCTAGTTTGGGATCCTCTGTGTTGTTCGAGGATGTGAAATCTGCTGTTTCGAAGCAGATTTCATTGAATAAAGAGATCCAAGAGGTGCTTCTATCACCACACAAGACCGGTAATTACTCCGGCGACGGCAACGGAACCGATTCTGTTCTTAGCTCATACAATAGATGTAGAAAGGTGGATCAAAAGTTATCAGATCGGAAAACAGTAGAGTGGAAACCGAGATCAGATAAGTTTCTTTTCGCTATATGTCTCTCAGGCCAAATGAGCAACCACTTGATTTGCTTAGAGAAACATATGTTCTTCGCCGCGTTACTAGACCGAGTTCTTGTGATCCCAAGCTCCAAATTTGATTACCAGTACGATAGAGTGATAGACATTGATCGGATTAACACTTGCTTGGAAAGAAACGTTGTTGTTTTTTTCGATCAATTCAAGGAGAAGGCGAAAAAGAACCGTCCTCGAATCGACCGGTTCATATGTTACGTCTCGAAGCCACAGCTTTGCTATGTGGACGATGAGCACATCAAGAAGCTTAAAAGTTTAGGGATCTCCATTGATGTGAAGCTTGAAGCTCCTTGGAGTGAAGATATAAAGAAACCAAGCAAGAGAACTGTGGAAGAGGTGCAGAGAAGTTTCAAGTCTGATGATGATGTGATTGCCATTGGAGATGTTTTCTATGCTGATATGGAGCAAGATTGGGTTATGCAGCCTGGTGGACCTATTAACCACAAGTGCAAGACGCTGATCGAACCAAGCAAGCTGATTCTGTTGACCGCTCAGCGATTTATACAGACTTTCTTGGGAAAGAACTTCATCGCGCTTCATTTCCGTAGACACGGGTTCCTCAAATTCTGGTATGGCTTCTCATCTTGCTTTAACCATGAGTTTCATAGTGTAGCTCGTACTCCACGGGTTCTTGATTTTCAATCTGTCCCATTAGTATGACATTCACATTACATAGTCACTACACCATAGTAGTAGTTAAGAAAAATAACCAATTTTCTGAGAATGGAGAATATTTTTTTTCTTCATGTTAGCAATGCGAAATCGCCGAGTTGCTTTTATCCGATTCCACAAGCTGCAGAGTGTATTGCGCGGATAGTGGAAAGATCAAACGGTGCAGTGATATATCTTTCAACAGATGCAGCAGAGAGTGAAACGAGTCTGCTTCAGTCACTAGTTGTGGTAGATGGCAAAATCGTGCCACTTGTGAAACGTCCGCCGCGTAATTCAGCTGAAAAGTGGGACGCATTGTTATATAGACATGGTATTGAGGATGACTCTCAGGTAAAGAACAGATTCTACAGATTAGAATCCTAAATTGTATTGAATCACTGCTAAATTGGTAATGCCACGGCCTGCTGTTTGATATGTATAGGTGGATGCAATGCTGGATAAAACGATATGCGCCATGTCCAGCGTCTTTATTGGAGCCTCTGGTTCGACTTTCACGGAGGATATCTTGAGGCTAAGGAAAGATTGGGGAACGTCTTCTATGTGCGATGAGTATCTATGCCGAGGCGAAGAACCAAACTTCATAGCAGAAGATGAATGAGTAAGTAAGCAACATTCTTTCTTACGATTGTTCTGAGATGCCATTGTTCTCTTTTCTCTAGTTGAATTGTATAGTGTAATTATAGAAATCCTATTTTGGATACTTTTTCCGATTTCATTTTTTTTTTTTTTTTTGCCACTCGTGGACTGTGATGGTGGATACAGTGTGAATTGATAGAAGAAAGAGCCTCAGTTTCTTACAATAACACATTATATGAAGTAGTCTCAAAGTTATTGTTGTGTATATTCCCTCATAGCAATAAGGGTCTCAAAGATTTGAGATTAGGAAATTGTTTACACTTTGATGCTTTTAGACGGATGATATACACAAGTGGAATAAGGTTTCCATACACAAAAGCCAAGCAAAAGCCCCTAACACATGTGCTTAAACAATACTCTTTTACAATTTTTTTTTGTTTAGATAATGTTTTCAGAAATCAATGCAAAAAGTAATTGTTTTTTATATATATTATTTTTCTATTGGTTGAATTGTTTTGAAATTGATGTTGAAAATTAAATAACTTCTTAATTTCTGTGCAAAACCTTAAACATCGTATATAAAAAACGGAAGAAATACCAAAGAGCTGAAAAAAACTGATGTCGCTTGTTCTTCAAATCCATCTTGTCTGCGGCTCTTGTTCGGCAAGCTTTATGCACCTTGATTTAAAGATCGAAACTTTCACCATGTTTCGAAAGTCTAAATCGCTTTGTTTTTTCGTTTGGCCTTCTTGAAGATGCTTGATTTGCACATAAGAGCACACACGTGGCCACAGCTTTTGTCGGTAACTTCTCTGAGATCCACGTGTCAACGTATCCAGCCTCTCCAATGATGTCAAGTTTATAGCGATTCCTGCGACTTTTTCCGAAAAGCATGACGGCTTTCTTTACCTTGTTGTCGATAAAGAAACTTAAAATAAATAAAAACGATAAACTCTCATTCACTGCCAAGAACTTACTCCACGACACCTTTTCGGTGTCAATCATAGTCGTGATCCATATCTCAAATGAATATGAGTCATAGTCATTGTCCTCGTCGATGTGCTTAAATAAAGCTGCAAGTTTCTCTTCTCTAACATGAGTCACATAGCGATTCCAATATCCAAGCGGCAGAGGCAGAAGCGGCCCAAATCTCTCTCTTGAATAATCGAAACATGTGCTCGGCCCGTTGGCAGTAACACGAGATCCTTTCTGTAGCACACCAGTAAGTGTTTCTGTTGAGAGAATCGCCATCATTATCCGTTATACGCCAGTATGGAGTGACATCAAGAGTCCTCAATAAACCAGAGTCAAAATCGTATATCTCATACCATAAAAATCCGTTATCGCTTTCATATAAGGGTTTATCTATAAACCTCAAGAAGTTGAAGTTACGATGAGAGTTCTTATTCCGAGGGCGTAACTAAAATCGTCCCAAATTATTACTCTGCCGAGAGAATATCTGAGATCAATCCACATTATTTGTCCCAAATAAGGATTCCAAACAACAACCTTATCACAGTCTTTCAAGATGCATAACAATAAACCCTAGCAGTAAAAAACTTTAGATATCTTTACATGTTCGTTAATGTTGGAGTTAGATTTTGCACAATAAATCTAGTTCACTCAAACCCAACAAGCAAGTTCAAACTAAGTATAAATTGGTTGGGCTTCATTTATACACCCTAAGCCCAATCTTTTACAATGATCCAAGCTCGGAAATCAGCATTCTGTTTGACGAGAAACAATGAAGGATCTGGACCAAGTGAGAGCATATTCTTACCAATTCAAACGAGCCCGAGATTTTCGGGAGAGGTTGTTGCACGTGGCCGAGATACACGCTAGATCGACGAGGAGAGCTATAGAAAGGAAGGAAGCTGCTTAGTTTGGGGGGGGGGGGGGGGGGGGGGGGGGGGGTGGGATTCGTTCTTACACTTTTTGATACTTGAAAACTCTGTAACCACTCTTTGAGCTCTTTTAATTTCATCTCTTTCAGAGAAATCCTGTAACCGTTTAATTCACCCGATTAATATCAAATCCTTATTTCAGTTAGTGCTTGCTTATATTGTCAATCTGTTCGAGAGAATCTAAACTCTTAATTCTCCTAAAGTTCATTTCCTTACAAAACACATAAATCTATGAGTGGATTTCTGTATCCATATCTTGGCGCCGTCAGTGGAGAGAGATCAATAGACTTCTCTTACTCGAGAGCAGGTCCTAAGCCAGCTGAAACCAAAATGGATTCAACTCAACAGCCTTCGGGAACGTTTTCCAGATTTTGATCTTTCCAGATCAAACTACTCCAACCGACAACGTCAACCAGACAGCCGGCGGAAACGAACCCATGGTCACTACCCTCATCGACACAACCAGCACGAACTCTAACGTTCCCAACAGTGTGGTACTAATCGTGATCAACCCCCCCCCCCCCCCCCCCCCCCCCCCCCCCCCCCCCCCCCCCCCCCCCCCCCCCCCCCCCCCCCCCCCCCCTTTCCGGAAACGATGAGTAACCACTCACAAACAGTCGAGAGGCCTGCCTCTCGAACTTGGGTGCGATCTGAGGCAACTCCCACCTCTCCGCCACCTCCTGTAGCTTCTAGAAGCCCAACAGAGTCGGTAGAGATACTCCAAATGCTCACACACCTGATCGATCGACAACGAGATCAGGAGATCAGATTAGAAAGACATAAAAGGGGTCAAGCCGCAGCTAGATCCGCTGCGAGTCCACCTCCACCTCCACCTCCACAGACTCAGCTCGACTTTTCATCGATTTGTGCTCCAAGCAATCCAACCAGACAGTTTGCGACACCATTGCCTGCTCCAGGTCCACCAAACTTCGCCCCTGCGGCGAACCAGACACCAATCACAATGAAAATTCCGGCTCCAGGAATACCAGAGATTTGACGTTCCCCCGCGATGAGATATCCATCTCCACCTGTGCCAGCACCAGGAATACCCAAAATGGGACCTCGTTCTAACACGAGATATCCGTCTCTACCTTTAAGACCACCTGAAACCGAGCCACCTCGTTCAAGATAGCTTGGATCCTCGGCTTTCGCCTCGAGCTCGCAGATACCTCCCTAGTTTGGCCAACAACCGAACACGATCTCGAGCTCGAGACCCCCTAACGAAACCCGAAACCCGTGAGCAACCCACTGGATTCGTTCTCCAACAACATGGAACTCACGTTCCAAATGATCTAACCCGGGCTAACCACCACGGTGTTGGTTCAAGAAACCTAGTCGACTACGAACCCTTTGAAAGATTCCAGGACCAGACCGACTTCGCCTTTTGGCAGATGAACTCCATTTTTCATCAAGCTACGAGCTCAGCTCCCGATATCGATTGAATGATCCGCGAGACCCAACAGACTCTGTTCAGTTACCCAATCATGAACACATACCTTCGAGACACTATTAAAATACGAGTCCTGGAGTACGCTGGAAACACTGACCCAAAAGCTCATACCGACTCTTCAACCTCGCAGCTATCCGAGCTAATTTCTCACCAGAAGAAAAAAGCAGGAAACTGCAGGCTCTTAACCGAAAACTTAGTCGGACCAGCCATGTAATGGCTCGCGATGCTGGAAAAAAATTCAATCGGGAGTTTCAACCAGCTCGCTGTAACCTTCCTTAAGCAATATTTGATCTTCATCAAAAAACGAGAATCCGAAGCCAACCTTTGGAAACTAGTCCAAGCTCCAGATGAACCACTTCGATCATATATCGACAAATTCAAGGCGATCGAAGAAAAAATCACAAATCCTAACGAAGCAGTAGCCCTGCTCGCCCTCAAAACCAACCTATGGTACAAATCAAAGTTCAAAGAATAACTCATGCGTCGACCTACGAACTCACTTGATGACACACTCCACCGTGCGTCCATATTCGCTAATTTCGAGGACAAACCGTCCGCCTGCAAAAAAAAAATACCGTAACGGACAGCTACACTTCGCACCCCTCGGGTCGAAGAAGGCAAATGGTCCACCTCCCAAAAGGGAGCCGCAAAGCTAAGGTCAGCATTCATACGCTATAGAGAGTTCGTCCCTCGAAAAGGAGTCGAAGTTTGACCAAAACAAATATTGCGACCACCACAAAAAAACACGGGCACTCCACCGAGGAATGCTGAACTCGAGCTAAAATCCTAGCTAAAAACCTCGCTAAGGAGAAAGCTGAAAAAGCCGAGGAAAAAAGCAAAAAGCCTAAAAAGACCTTGACCAAAAACAAGGACAAGGACCTCGAAAAGGCATCTAAAAAACGAGATTGTGAAGTCGAAGTCGAAGTTCAAACTCCAGATATACCTCCTTCAGCGAGGAAAATAATTGACGTGGTTTTCAGAGACGTAAGCCTTTGTGGTGGGTCAATGAAATCAGTAGTTACCCCCCACCTGCACCGAAAAAGCTCACGAGTTCCAGTTCATCTAAACTCCACAAGCTCGTTGGGGGCGAGTGCTTAACCTACTCGGTAGCTCATTAAAACCAATCATTAATCAACTCTCAATACCTCGAATTCAACCAAGCTCTAGCTCACACACAACTCACTCGTTGGGGGGGGGGGGAAACCCATAATTAAGCGATTCGAATTCATCTGTGGAGGCTCAAATATGTGCCGAGATTCAATCAACTCGATCAAGGCATATCAACGGGAAGGTCAAGTCTGCCACTGTGAACCTACCTTTAGACGGACCCGACCACCAAATAAGTTTTCTAGAAAGCGAAACGCTGTATCTGGACAAACCACACGATGACGCACTTGTCATCCAGATCACCGTAGGCAGTTTCGACCTCAAAAGGGTAATGATCGACACTGGAAGCTCGGTAAACGTGCTGTTCTTCGATGCTTTTAAACGCATAGGATACCAAACACCCATGCTATCGATTGATCGAACTCCACTCACCGGCTTCGCCGGAGAAACCACCTATTCGCTAGGAACCATCCAGCTCCCAGTCAAAGTTGGCGGGCTCATAAAAACAATTGACTTCGTGGTTGTAGACCGCCCAGCTCCATTTAACGCCATACTCGACAG